GAAAAGGCCTGCCTGCACAGAAAAGTTGCCCTTTCTATGAACCCGCTTTTTTTTTTTTTTTTTTTTCTGGCCGTTTACCCCAACTTCAGAAAGTTGCTGCAGCCGCCGCGAGCCAAGAAGGTGGCAGAAAAATATAAATAGACAGAAAAAATATTTATATATATATAAAGACCACGGTTGAGGCTGTTGGGATCTAAGAGCATCTCGAGTTTGTTTATTGTTATTATAATTATTGTTTTTTTTATCCATTTCTCCCCTTCTTTTTCTTCTCCCCCTATCCCGGCCCTGCTGCCTCCTCTGTATAACGCGGTTATCATCTTGTCATGGCCAAGTCTAAGGAAGGGGGGAAATAAGGCTCGGGGGTGCTCACAGACAGGAGGGAGGTGGTGGGGGGAAATAATGATGGTGATAATGATAATAATAATGAAGTTGCTCCCCCTCTCCGCTCCGTGACACCCAAGGGTGTCACCACCAATGTGAGTCAAATACCCGGCCATCTCCTTTCACTTGCACCCCTTTGGGGGAGGAGAAGGAGGAGATGCAGCACCTACACACACCCAAAAACACATTTCCATCTCAAAAAAAAAAAGGGGGAAATCCACAAAATTAAAGACACGCCCCCCCCCCCAAAAAAAAAGCAAAAGGGGGCAAAAAATCCAAACTTCAGTTGCATTTCCTTCCTCCCCATCCTCCTCCTCCTGCAGTCTGCAGAAGTGCTTCCCCCCACCCGCGCTCCCCGGAGGATATTTGGGATATTTGGGAGCTTGCGGGGCTCGCAGGCACCAACTCAACATTTTGAGGGGGCTGCTCTGACCTCTGGGCGAAAAATTTAATCCCCCTCCCCACCATTTTCATACAATTTTCCTCCTTTTTGCTGCTTTAAAGCTCCCTCTCTCTCTGCCCAGGACAGACGGATTTTCTGCTCTGTCTATAGAGGAGGATATTCCGGATAGCCCCGACGCCACGAAATGGGCTGAGTCTGGGGTGCTGGATGTCGAACGCCTTTTTATCTATTTTGTTTCATTTTTTATTTTTCCCCCCTAAAATTCCGTGAGATTTTGGCTTCCCCTTTCATGAGAGGACTGAAAAGGCAATAATCATAATAATAATCATCATCATCATCATAATATCACAACTGGTTCCTAACTCCTTGCCCCGCTCGGTGGAGGAGATGTTTAAGGCGACTTATGGCTATAGGGCCCCTCTATAACTTTTAACTCGCAAACCCTGCACTTAGAGCAGTAGCACGAAGCAAGAGGTGGAAAATAATTAATAAATGAACGATAGCAATAAAAACAAACCCCCAAAGCTTTGTATAGAGAATCCTCGGGATAAATCCCAGCCCTCCGCTTTTTCCCAGCTCTCACAAAGGGTTTAGGAGACTGTGATTTGTTTAATGGCAGATTTCATCCATTTGGGAGAGCGAGAAAACGGGGGAGAAGCAAAATAAATGGAAATAGAGGTCTGGAAAACCTCCTTTGCCCAAACTGCCATTTAAAAAATGAATTTATTGTTATTTTTTGTAGTGCAGAGGGCTCACCTAGCGATGCTCCAGGGATGCACCAGGGATGAAGCAGGCCCAGGGCTTGGGAGTAAAGGGAATGCAGCGAACTTCCCCAAATCCAGGGCCTAAAATAGTATATAAATATATATAAAATAGGAGGGGGCCGCAAAATTCCCCCTGTTCCAAACACCTAAACCTGCTCCATCTCCTGCGCTGCCAGGCAGAGCCACAACCCCCTACACGGAGATGGGAGGGAAAGGAGAGACGAAATAGCTTCTTTTTTTCCCCAAATCCCACCTTTCCCCCACGACCAGGTTGCACCTTTCATCCAAAGACCAAGAACGATCGGCTGCTCTTATTAAGATTATTGCCATTAGTGCCTTAACAGCCTCCTGCATGGCCTCTAAAATAAATAAATAAAGATAAATAAATAAATATATAGGAATATAAATAAATGAACCACATACATCCTCTTGGCCCTTTTTATGGGTTAATGCAACTAAAAAAAATCACCAACGCGCAGAAAAGTTCAACGGAAGGAGGGGGTTCAACCAGGCAACCTCACGTCAGATGCAAAGCACGATATAAATAAATATATGAATAGAACAATAATAACAACACAGAGGCATGAAAGGAAGAGGATCCCAATGCACAGCACTGCTCTTGGTGGAAAAATAAAATAAAATGAAAGGAATTCTGCCTCTTTTCTCTTTTTTCCTTCCCCCGCCCCTCAGGATTTGCAGGGTTGGGAGGGTCTGAGATTTAAAGTCACTGGCCACGTCGTGATGTCGTAAAATCGGGAGCCCAGAGTTATCTTTATGTTGGCTTAAACTTAACTTAAAGCAGCCCGCAGTGCATAAGGGCTTCAATACGTCCCAGGCTTTTATTACTAATATTATTATTGCTATTATTAATATTATTCGGGGGGCGGGTTTGGAGGGGGGAAACGAGCATCAAAGAAGTCACCAGACATAAAAGTAAAACTAATTCACACTGACTGGTTTATTGAACACTGGGACTTTCACATACACACTAAAACTCTTTATTGCAAGTTTACAATGATCATGTAAAATCAGTCCGAAAAAAAATCCCACAAATAACCACGACGAAAAAAAACCTAGCTACTGACTTTTTTAAAAACCTTCTGTTTTTCTTTTAAATAAGCAACTCTCTCACACTCTCTCTTTTTTTTTTCTCATTATTTCTAGCAAAGATCCATCCCTTCTTGTGTGCTGTCTCGTATTTGTTTTTGTTCCCTGTTTTAAAATGTGATTTTTAAGCTTTTTTTTCTCCACTCCCCCACATTTTTACCAAAATAACTTCGCAGCTCCCTCGATCTTTGTACATTTGTAATGCAGAAGAGGGGGAGGGGGAAAAAATGCATTTTAATATTATTTTTTCGTGTTTTTTTCTGCTGCATTTCTCCATTTAATTCATGGAACGGAACATTCAACCTCGACAACCCCCCCCCATCCCCCCTCCCCCCATTTTTTTTAATAAATAAAACCCTGAAACGGTGTAAAAAAAATAAAATAAACTGCAGGTACAGCCACGTGGCCTCATGCTATCCGACATGCACCTAAAGCCTGTGGTCTTGCGAGAGACCCCCTTTTTGATACGCTTGGAAAATAATAATTAATAATAATATTAATTAATAATAATAATAATAGGAAGGGGGGAAAGGAAGGAGGGAAAATAAAGGGAAAAGGGGGATGAAAATATATAGATATATATATATTAGATTCTATAAATAATCCAGAGTCATTCGTGTGCGGGTGTGCGGGTGTTTATAACCTGGTGATATCCTCTGTGCGCGGCTCCTGCGCGGCGGCGGGCGGCGGCTCCGCGGCCGCGGGGGCGGCGGGGG